GTCCGGGGAGTGAGGGTGGGGTCTGGCTAGAGTCCGGGGAGTGAGGGTGGGATCTGGCTAGAGTCCGGGGGTGAGGGTGGGGTCTGGCTAGAGTCTGGGGAGTGAGGGTGGGGTCTGGCTAAAGTCCGGGGAGTGAGGGTGGGGCCTGGCTGGAGTCCAGTGGCTCCCCTCTGTCAGGTCCCTGTCCTCGGCTGTCCCTCTCCTCGTCCTTTGGCTAGAAAGAACAGCTTTTGTTGGTTTTTTTTTCCTTCATCAGCTGGCTTTTCTGGATTGCTGGTTTCTTCAGATCTAAAAATAAACACAGGGCAAAGTTTAAAAAGCTCAGGGGACACATTGCTGTGTTCTCGGCCTGCAGCGTCCTGGCCGGTGTGCCGCCCTCCACTTCTCTCAGTTACCTTCTTAAAGTGAGTTCTGTGTGTAGCGTCCAGGGTTCTAGCCGTAGTGGGGGGAGGAACAGAGAAGAGACACTCAGCTCCATCGCCCTGGAAGCAGAGTCCTTGAGGGTTCAGTTCCCAGTGTTGCTTGTAAAGAGGGGCTTTGCTGGATGCAGCAGAGGGAGGCCTGCGGGGAGCAGAGTGCCGTGGTCTTGGGCAGGACTCACGCCTGGTCTGGCCCGCAGATGCAGGAGACCCCCCAGCACCGCCCGCCCCGCGGTCACGAGGATCAGGAGGGACGGATGCAGCTGCACCTGTCCCTGGGGCAGGAACCGGCGTGGTGCTCGGGGCTCTGCACACACACATGTCCTCGAGCCCCCGGCAGCTGTGGGAACTTGACCCGCAAAGGGAAGCACATGTTTGTTATAAAACAGAGAGCAGAGCCTCTTGGGGTGGGTCACAGAGGCCACACCGTACAGGAAACCTGCCAGGGTTCTGTGGGAAAGCGGCGGGAGCCCCCCAGGGCTGCGCCGGCTGTGGCCTGCAGGGGGACAGAGGGTGGTCTTGCCCCCTGTGGGAGCTGCTCCTGGGCTGCCCCCTGACCCCTGAGCGCCCACCCCCACCCCTGCAGTGTTCCCGCAGCCTCCGCAGGAGGAGGGAGACCCAGGGCGGACTCCACAGTCCCCGCCCCGCTGCTCCCCTGCCCCTCCCCTGCCGGCCGGGCTCACCCCTCCCAACCCCGCCCTGCCCCCTCTCTGTTGTAGTTTCTTGTCTACTTCGTGTACTTCCTGGTGCTGTTTGGTGTCTACCTCTTGGGGGCCATGCTGGTGGTCCTGCAGCACTTCCAGGCCAGCCGCCGCGCGCCCCCGCCCCCGGAGCTGAGGAGCCCTGCGGAGGAGAAGGCCATGCAGGTGCTGAGCGAGCAGGATGGCGGCCTCAGCAGCCTGCAGCCCGAGGCCCTGCCCCTGGCCTCCCAGGAGCAGAACCAGCAGCCCGAGGCCAAAGCCTGACCCTTGGACACCAGCGGCCGCCCGCCAGCATCCTCCACGTCCTGGGGCCTTGGCATCTCAGAACAGATGCCCCCTCCACGCCCCCACAGGTGGCCCGCCCCTTGGTGTCAGCGATCCAGGTTTCCGGCCTCGTCCACGTTACAGGGTTCAGATTGTGGAGCCAGTGGTGACCAGCGGGGACCCTCCATGGTACCTCCCTGTGACCTGTACCTCGGGGGCAGCCTGCCTCAGGAGGGGCCTTGGCTTGTCCTGCAGTGGCCCGAGGACGGTGCTCCTCCGCCCTGCTTGGCGCTCTGGCCCTGTCCCCCGCCCACACGTGGTGGGCAGTGGGGATTCACATGCCCACCAGGCCTCCCCACCATCACCCCCCACCCTGGGAAGCAGGCCCTGCTTGTCCCTGGGGACCAGTGACTGGGATAGGGACTCGGGCCCCCGCAGTGCGAGGCTGGGAGCCCTGATTTGTGCGGACTGTGGCTCAGTTGTCCAGGTACTTGCTTTAGACAATGCTCTTCCTTTTTTTAAAAAAATTGACCTACACGAGAAACCTTAAAGGGCTCCTGTTTCTGTGGGAGAAGCTGGACACTGCCCAGTGGTGGGCCCTTCTGTCAGGTGCATGCGGGGACGCTGGGGCCCCCGGAGCCCCACTTCTCCCCAGGCCCTGCACTGTCCTGCCTGTTCCCGAAGTGAGTTAACATTGACCTACCTCACCGGTGACTGTGGGCGGCCTGGGGCCACTCTCGTGCCAGCCCAGACGGACCTGCCCGAGTGCACCACCTCAGGGTCTGAGGGCCCGTTGTGTCCCTTCCGAGCTGCACCGTCTGCTCTCCCTGAAGGGGCTTAACCCAGAAGCCCCAAGCATGGAGGGGCTTCTGATCCTATACTAGCCTGGCCTGTGGGGGTGGGGGTGGGAGGAGGACCCCTCCCTGCCCCAGCCCCTGTCCCCGACAGGCAGGGACCCACTCCAGGCCCACAGGTCCTCGGGCTGAGTACAGCCCTTCCCACAACTCCTGGGGTCTGGAGCAGCGCCCGCGCTCCCTGGGACCGGAGGGAAGGGGGCTGCTTGGAGCCATCTTGGCAGGGAGCGGTCTGAAGGACACGCCGGGCCGGGGCCGGGGCCGGGCTGCTGGATGGAGGAGGCCGCCGTGGGGGGAGGCCGGGCATCCACACACACTCACCCCTGGCGCCCTGTGGACGCTGAGGAGGGGGCAACGCTGTTCCCCGTCTGAGCTCAGAGATCTAGCGGGACTTGGTGGGTGGAGGGGGTGAGTGTCACCTCTGGTCCCTGAGCACGATGCAGGGCCCTGCTGTGCGCCCCGGCCCTGGGACTCCCCTGCCCTGCCCTGCCCTGCGAACCCTCCCGTCAGTGGCCGCCCAGCCGCCTGGCCTCAGCCGGTTCCATGCGTTGCGCAGCTGTGGGGAGAAGGCGGGTGCAGGGCGCAGACCACCTGCGGGGCCTGGGAGCGAGAGCCTGTGGGCACTGCTGGCCACCCCAGGGAGACTCCGGAGAGGAGAACGGTCTGGGGCCGCGGCAGCGTCCGTCTGCACCCGCGTGTGGCCGCTCACGCCCACCTGTGCTCCCGCTGCACGAGCCCCCGGCTGGGATGAAGGCTCCCGGGCACCTGTCTCATGATCACGAGGGCTGCCTGCAAACCCAGTGTCCGTGTAAAGGGCCATTTTTATTTGGAGCCCGTTTGGAAACCACGTTACTCCTGCGGTTTCCAGCGCTCAGGCCGCAGAGCTGCGGCGGCTGGGGGCTTGCCTGTCACCCTTCCAGCATGGCCACCCATGGAGGAGGGACCTCTGCCGTCTCCCCCAGATGCTCGGGTGCGCCTCAGAATGTCCCCTTCCGTGCGCCCTCCACGTCATGTGGCCGCCTCTTGGGCTCGGCAAGGCAGGCCCCGTGGGAGCAGAGTCCTGGCTGGGGCAGGTGTGGCCATCCTATTTGCCTCTGGATTTTTTTTTTTAAGATTTTATTTATTTTACTAGAGAGCACGAGCGGGGTGGGGGCATGGGGGAGGGGCAGAGGGAGAAGCAGGCTCCTGCTGAGCAGGGAGCCCGACACGATGTGGGACTCGATCCCAGGACCCCGAGATCATGACTTGAGCCGAAGGTAGGGGCTTCACCGACGGAGCCCCTCAGGTGCCCCACCTCTCGATGTTTGAACTCCATGTCCTGCAAAGATGAACCAGGACCCTGGCCCTGGGCTCAGCAGGCGGGAGTTCTGGCCAGGGACCCGGGGATGGGGAGCAGCTATGAGCCCGGTTAGAAAAGGAGACTGGGCAGGGCCTGGGTCCCAGGACGGGATGCTGCTATCCCTGGGTTGTGGGCCCCTCAAAAGTCCTAGCGTAGGGGCGTCTGGCTGGCTCAGTTGTTAGAGCTCTTGATCTCAGGGTCAGGAGTGTGAGCCCCACCTTGGGGGTAGAGATTACTTAAGAAAAACTCCCCGAAGGCCCTGGCTGGGCCGAGCTCCACGCTGGGTGTGAGCTCATGGGTCCCTTGGGAAGCCGGTGTGGGCCAGAGAGCTGAAGGTGGGCCCCATGTGCAGGGCTGCGGAGGGAGCCACCAGCCCATGGTGGTATTGGGGCAAGGGTCAGAGCCTGGGGGGCCCTGTGGTCTGCGGTGGGAGGACGCACTGATGTGGGGAACTGCCCTGACCTGGGGGTGGCCGAGGAGAGGTGGCCCCGCCCTGCGCCCCTGGCCTGAGCTGCCCCAACAGCTCACAGCTGGGGAAGGAAGGCTGTTACTGCTTGTGCAGCTCCTGGGCCAGGTCCAGAGGAAGGGAGGCCCGCAGGAAGCCGAGGCAGCACCTGTGGGGGCCACGGAGGGCTGCAGGGGCACCCCCACCCCCCGGGAGAGTGAGTTCCCTTGCTGTGGCCGGGGTCTAGCCCCTGGTCTGACTGGGGCCAAGAGGGAAGGGGACAGGGCCCCGTGTGAGGAGGGGAGGGGCGCGAGAGTGTCCTGGCACCAGGCTTTGTTTTAAACTTTTTAAAAAATACACTCTTTGGCTTCCTTTTATTTCTTGAGGGGTACATTAACTGTGAACCATACAGGAAAGTGTCCGGCCGGGTCCCCACCCTGGGGGGTGGGCAGAAGCTCCGGCACAGCGGCTTTTCCACTCCCCTGGCCTCCCCTCCGGCCCCATGTCCGCTTGTCCGTCTGAGCCGGCAGACCCCTACTTGGAGAAGGAGGTCATGAAGCTGTTCTCGATGCAGAGCACAATGAAGGCGTTGTGGCAGCTCGCGGCTTTCTGCGCCAGCAGCCGGCCGGCCAGCAGCGAGGACGCCTGGCCCGTGGCTGCCCCAGCCTCCGTCCGCCACGTCTCGCAGTAGCTGTCTGTCAGCCGGCGCCCACTGGGGTCTGAGCCGTGCCACACGCTCTTCTGGGGCCTGCGAGACGCAGAGGCCGTCAGCCCCAGACCAGGGCCTGCCGCTCAGGGAAAACGTGTTTTCCGAAGGCCCATCATGGCGGCTGGATGTGGGGCCAGGGGGAGGGCGGGGAGTCGGGGTCCTTGGTCCCTGGGGGCTCCACCTCCCCTGCCCATCTGCTTTGGGGGGCACAGCCTGGGGAGCCTACCAGGCGGGGTGCTGCAGGACATCTCTGCCGTCGAAAGAGAAGATGCGGGCCCCGGGCTTCAGCTGGCCCTCGGAGCCCGAGAATAAGGCCTCCCAGCTGGGGAACAGCACCTCGTCCTGGGGAGGGAAGTGCAGTGGGGCTTATTCCCTCCCCGGAGATGTCCTGCCAGAGGTGGGCCAGCTTGCAGGGCCCCCTTCCCAGTCCCAGATCCGGTCTGGCCCCGAGGAGCGCACAATGGTGGTCAGGAGGCGCGTAGGCCACTAAGCCCCCCATCGACGTTTCCGAACCCGAGCTCCGAGGTGGCTGCACGTGAGGGCCTGGCCCTGCGGCCTGAACCCCAAGACGCCCCCTGTGACGCACGGGACCCCTGGCAGGCGGCTGCAGGGGCTGGGGGCCAGGTGGGGGGCCCGCCCGCACCCCAGAGCAGCCACACCCACCCTGAGGTTAACGATGGGCACGCTTGTGCGGTCGGCCCGGCGCACGATGCTGTAGAGGTCCTGCAGCCGAGAGGACAGGAAGGCGCGGAAGGTGCCGGCCAGCCCCACGGTGCGGGCCTGCTGGAAGCACTGGAAGTCCGCCCCGCGGATGCCTCTCATGCCGCCCGGCTGGGGGCTGTTCAGTGCCACCAGGTGCAGCTGTGGGGGAGAGCCGCGGGGTCAGCCGCCAGCCCCCACGGGGCGCCCGGCCCCCCCCTGGGCTGAGTGTGCACCGTGCTGGGGGCCCCGGGGCCCAGAGAACTGTCCCCAGCAGCCCTGGGAGTCCTTGTGGGCTGAGGGGCCGGGGAGTCCACATGGGGGGTCGCTCACCACAGGGTGGTAGTCCTGGTGGGTGTGGGTGTGGGTGGGCCTGCCAGTGGGGCGAGCCGGCTGGAAGTGCAGGTAGGAGCCGTGCTGTGGGGCTCCAGGGTAGGGCTGGGGGTCCAGCAGACGTGGGGGGCTGGCCAGGATGTCATCTGCCCGCCAGGGCCGCGCCGTGGAGTGGGTGAGCTCCCGCCGGGGGTACGGGTTGCCCACGGGGGGCTGCAAGGCGGCCACCTCGTTGTCCTGCAGACGGGGAGGCAGACTGTGGCAGGGGCCCTGCTCTCCTGCACGGATGGGCTGATTGCTGGCTGCCTGTCCGGCACCCCCGGGGTGTGCTCTGCGGCAGGAGAGGGCCGGCCTGGGGGTGGGGAGCTGGAGGGTGCATCCACGGGCCCTGGGGTGCCCCGGAGAGTTAGGGCGGGAGCCCTTCCAGCCCCCCCACCTCTGCACAGTCCCCCAAGCTTGCCGCTCCATAGGCCCTTGCGCCAGCCCACCTCAGAGAGGCGACCGGCACCCCATCCAGTTCCCAACAGCAGTGAAGGCCTTCTGACGCACCGTGTGCTTTGCCTCTGCCTGGATCCCTGTGCCCTGTCTCTAGGAGCCCATGGTTAATAATCCATAATAAAGCATACCACCTGTCCCCCGCCCGGGAGCTCCACGGGGCAGGGCCTTGCGTGTCCCTGCCTGAAACAGTGCCTGCCATATGGGAGGGCCTGAGACCGTGCTGAGAGAATGAATGAATGAATGAATGTATGGGAGAGCGGACCCGCTGGGCTCCATGAGCCGACAGACCCGCGGAACCTGGGATGCACACCTCCTAATGCAGCCTCGGTCCTGGGCCTTTACACTCCCAAGAGCCACAGCGGTGGGAAACCCAAATATTTCGGGCCCTCCCATCCCCCCAGCCCCCCAGGGGCCCATCTCTGTGCCTGGCACTCTTGGAGGGTGGTGGGCGAGGCCCGAAGGGAGGCAGCCTCGTGGTGTGCGCACCCCGTCCCACCCCCCGCGCCCCAGGACCCCGGAGCTGTGGAGAGGAAGATGGCTCCTTACCGTCCCGTGTGGGAGCGGCATCCGCGCCTCCAGCTGGAAGAAAACGCAGGGGTTACCCCGGCGACCCCTGATGCCCGGCACCGGTCCCTCCCCGGTGGAAGCCGGCGTGGCCGTGTCCATG